CTGGATGCTCTGTTCTGTTCTGTTGATCTATATGTCTGTTTTTATGTGAATACCATGCTGTTTTGGTGATGAAAGCTCTGCAGGATAATTTGAAGTCGGGTAATATGATTCCTCCAGGTCTGTTATTTTTGCTTAGGATAGCTTTGGCTATTCTGGGTCTTTTGTGATTCCACATACCGGATTGTTTTTTCTATTTCTGTATAGAATTTCATTGGTGTTTTGATAGAGATTGCATTGAATTTGTAGATTGCTTTGAGTAGTATAGACATTTTAACAATATTGATTTTTCCAACTCATGAACATGGAATATTTTTCCATATTTTGTGTCATCTTCAATTTCCTTCATCAGTGTTTCATAGTTTTTCTTATAGAGGTATTTTACTTCCTTGGTTAATTCGTAGGTAATTTTATGTGTAGCTACTGTAAATCAAATTACTTTTTTTTTTTTTTGAGACAGAGTCTCACTCTGTTACCAGGCTGGAGTGTAGTGGCATGATCTCGCTCACTGCAACCTCTGCCTCCCAGTTTCAAGCGATTCCATTCTCCTGCCTCAGCCTCCCGAGTAGCTGGGACTACAGGCACATACCACCACGCCCAGCTAATTTTTGTATTTTTAGTAGAGACAGGGTTTCACTATGTTGGCTAGGTTAGTCTTGATCTCCTAACCTTGTGATCTGCCTACCTTGGCCTCCCAAAGTGCTGGGATTACAGGCATGAGCCACTGTGCCCAGCTGGGATTACTTTTTAATTTCTTTAACATTGTTCACTGTTAGCATATAGAAATGTTACTGATTTTTGTATGTTGATTTTGTATCCTGCAACTTTACTGAAATTGTTGATCAGTTCCAATCATTTTCCTGTGGAGTCTTCAGGTTTTCCCCAATAGAAGATCATATTATCTACGAACAAGGATAATTTGACTTCTTCCTTTCCACTTTGGATGCCTTTATACCTTTCTCTTGTCTGATTGCTTTAGCTAGGACTTCCAGTACTATGTTGAATAACAGTGGTGAAAATGGGCATCTTTGTCGAGTTCCAGATCTTAGAGGAAAAGATTTTTTTCCTGTTCAGTATGCTACTAGTTGGGTCTGTCATACATGGTTTTTATTATGTTGAGGTATGCTTCTGCTACCCCCCGTTTTTTTAGGGTTTTTATCATGAAGGGATGTTGAATTTTATCAAATAATTTTTCCGCATCAATTGAAATGATATAGTTTTTAGCCTTCATTCTGTTGATGTGATGTATCACATTGATTTGCAACCATCCTTGCCTCCCAGGGATAAATCCCCTTTGGTCAGAGTCTCGTCCTTTTGCCCAGGCTGGAGTGCAGTGGTGAGATCTCAGCTCACTGCAACCTCTGCCTCCAGGGTTCAAGCAATTCTCCTGCCCCAGCCTCCTGAGTAACTAAGGCTATAGGCATAGATCACCTCACCCAGCTAATTTTTGTATTTTGAGAAGAGACAGGGTTTCATCATGTTGGCCAGGCTTGTCTTGAACTCCTGGCCTTAAGTGATCCACCCACCTCAGCATCCCAAATTGCTGAGATTACAGGCATGAGTCACCATGCCTGGCCAGCGGTTTTTAATTTTAATGAATTCTAACTTACCAGTTTTTTCTTTCATGGACTGTGCTTTTGGTGTTGTATCTAAAACCTCATTCCCAAACACAAGGTCAACTATATTTTCTCCTGTTATCTTCCAGAAGTTTTACAGTTTTGCATTTCACATTTAGGTCTGCAGACCACTTTAAGTTAAATTTTGTGGAAGGTATAAGGTCTGTATATAGATTCTTTTTAAAAAAAAAAAACATGACTTTCCGGTTGTTCTAGCACCATTTGTTAAAAGGACTATTACTGCTCCATTGACTGCCTTTGCTTCTTTGTCAAAAGTCAGTTTATATTTATGGGTGGGCTCTCTATACTGTTACATTAATCTATGTGTCTATTCTTTCTCAAACACCACACTGTCTTGATTACTGTAGCTTGATGGCAGGTAATGTCAGTCCAATTTCTTTGGTATTGTGTTGGTTATTCTGGTTTTTTTACCTTTACATATAAGTTTTAGAATCAATTTGTCCATATAGGCAAAATTACTTGCTGGAATTTTGATTGGAATTGCACTGAATTCGTAGATCAGCTTGGGAAGAACTGACATGTAAATTGAGTCTTCCAATCTATGAACCCAGAATAGCTTTCTACTATTTAATCTTTTTTGATTTTTTTCCATCAAAGTTTTATTATAGCTTTCTGCATATAGATCCTGTACCTATTTTAGATCCATATATACATATGGATATGGATCTAAAAAATATATATATATTTTAGATCCATATATATGGATCCATACATATATATATGGAAGGATCTAAAATACACATATATGGATCTAACATAGGTGCAGGATCATATGTAGAAAACTTTAATATAACTCTGATGTTTTATTACTATTTATAAACATTATTTATATATAGTATTACTATTTAAAATATTTTATTTATTTATTTAGATAGAGTCTTGCTCTATAGCCCAAGCTAGAGTGCAGTGGAGCAATCTCAGCTCACTGCAACCTCCAACTCCTGCGTCCAAGCAATTCTCATGTCCCAGCCTCCCAAGAAGCTGGGATTACAGGCATGCACCACCACGCCCAGCTAATTTTATTTTTACTAGAGACGACGTTTCACCATGTTGGCCAGGCTGGTCTTGATTCCTGTCCTCAAGCAATCCCCCACCTTGGCCTCCCAAAGTGCTGGGATTATAGGCCTGAGCCACTGGGCCCCCTCAGATCCATATCTAAGTACAGGTTGAGCATCCCTAATCTGAAAATCAGAAATACTCCAAAACCCAAAACTTCAAGCCCCAACATGACATTCAAAGGAAATGCTCATTGGCGCATTTCAGATTTAGGATTTTTGGATTAGAATGCTCAACTGCTAAGTTTATAATTCAAACATTTCAAAATCTAAAAAAATCTGAAATCCAGAACATATCTGGTCTCAAGCATTTCAGATAACGTAATACTTAACCTGTATTACATTGGGAAGACAGTACTACTGTAAATGGCATTGTGTCTTTAATTTTAAATTTCAATTGTTCATAGCTGCTATACAGAAAAAAAATTGACTTTTGTATTCAACCTTGTATTCTAAAATTCTACCCTTTTATTTTTTCTTTCCCAATATGTATACTTTTTTTTTTTTAGACGGAATATCGCTCTGTCACCAGGCTGGAGTGCAGTGGCACGATCTCGGCTCACTGCAACCTTCGCCTCCTAGGTTCAAGCAATTCTCCTGCCTCAGCCTCCCGAGTAGCTGGGACTAAAGGCGCGCACCATGACGTCCAGCTAATTTTTGTACTTTTTGTAGAGACGGGGGTTTCACCATATTGGCCAGGATGGTCTCGATCTCATGACGTCGTGATCTGCCCGCCTCCTCCCAAAGTGTTGGGATTACAGGTGTGAACCACTGCACCTAGCCAAGGATGTGTACTTCTTAAATGTTGCTTTAAATCAACCTATCCTGAAAACTGCAAGCAACATAAAACGTAAACAAAGGAAGTGAGTAGGAAATGAGGTAATTTGGGCAACTGTTCACAAGAACTGCCTATTATAATCAATATTCTTGCGCAATACAGTATGCTGAGCACAGGAGCCCCAAAACAATGACAAAAAAAAGCCTGGAGCTTTAATTAGGAATTCAAAGCGACATCACTTGCCTCTATGGTCTTTGGCAAATAGATATTATTTCATTTTTCATTTTTGAGACAGGGTCTTGCTCCATCACCCAGGCTGGGGTGCAGGGGTGCGATCTAGCTCACAGCAGCCTCCACCTCCTGGGCTCAAGCCATCCTCCCACTTCAGCCTCGGGAGTAGCTGGGACTACAAGCTACTACTATATTTTTTGATAGAGATGGGGTTTCGCCATGTTGCCCTTGCGCTCGAACTCCTAACCGCAAGTGATGCGCCCGCTGGACCTCCCCAAGCGCTGAGCTTACAGGCGTGAGCCACCGTGGCCGGCCTCGAAATAGCTACGATTTTAAACTTAGAAACTTTATTCACAACACAAACTCCGAATGAAGCTCTGTGGCATTTTCTTACAGGAAGAAATGCTGAAGTTAACAGGTATGTGGAATGTTACCGCATCAAATCCTAAAGATAAAATTTTAACTCAGTTCCTCCTCACTATTTGCTTCTTCCCAGCCTTGTCTCGCAGAAATCAGCGCGGTCTAAAAACACTAGATTCAACACCTCGTTTAGAAATTCAATTTCTCCTTGCTAGATGGATAGCGTTTGGCAAGAAATTTGGAAAAATAAAAATAAATCCACGGCCGGAGTGGTCTGGGATTCAAATAATATAACGCAGGGTGAAAAAAGCACTCAAGCGCGAACAGCCATGGAGCACTACTTCCTGTGCCCCCTTTCACCGCCAATCTCACGCCAGAGCCGCGCGCTGAGCGGAGGCTGTTGGTAGCTGAGGCCGGAGTTGCACGCCACGAGACTGCGCAGACCCGCCCGAAAGAAAAATGGAGTTGGTGGCGTGAGACTGCGACAGAGAAGGGTATTTTTCTCTTTTCAAAGGGCCGCTAGACCTCCCATCAAAGGAAGCACCCGGCGGGCTTTCGGCGTCCACGCCCAGACTCCAGAGTGCAGCGCCCCCCCCCGACCCCTTCTCTCCACACCAGGCGAAGTTCCTCCCCTCCCCGCCCCTTCGTCCCGTCAACCCTAGACCCGGCATGCACTGCGCCGACCTTTTTCTTCCGAGCCGACCCCCACCTTCGGCGCCTCCCAATGACAAGCGGCGCGGAGCATTGTGGTCCCGTGAGCGAAAGCGAGGCGGAGGGCAGAAAAAGAAAGCAAAAGAGTAGGGCGTACCGGTAGAGCAGACTCCGCGCCTGCGCATGGGCGGCGGCGGCCGTGAAAAAGGGCGGTGCGTGGTCTACGGCGAGCGGAGTGGGGCGGGGTCGCGCGCCTTGGCAGAGAGTCCGAGAGCCGGGAGGGGCGGGGGGGTGGATGAGGGAGCGGGCGGAGGAGGAAGTGTCATGGCGTCGGGCCGTGGAGCTTCTTCTCGCTGGTTCTTTACTCGGGAACAGCTGGAGAACACGCCGAGCCGCCGTTGCGGAGTGGAGGCGGATAAAGAGCTCTCGTACCGCCAACAGGCGGCCAACCTCATCCAAGAAATGGGACAGCGTCTCAATGTGTATCCTTTCCTATCTGCCGCCTCTCACGCCCTGTTTCTCTTGCCCGGTTGCTGGGCCTGGTGCTCCGTGAATATGGCGCCGCCGCCTCGGCCTTTGCTGCGCCTCGGCCCTGCGGTCAGGGAATGAAGGGTCCTGCTCGGGAAGTCGCGGGGGTCAGCAGAGAAGGGGTGGAAGAGAGAGGAGCCCAGGAATGTGGTCCAGGAGCCCGCGTTGTGTAATCTGTTTGGGGCAGCGCGTGGTGGTGACGGCGGGGGAAGGGAGGGCGACTCAGGGCAAAGGAGAATTTTAGAAATTATTGCAGAAAAGGGGCGGCTCCTTCGATTTGTCCCTGTCTCTGAAGGGTTTGAGGTAGGAGGGTTAGAGATGCTGAAAGGTCTAAATGGTTTCCGCTGCCTTTCCCCGCTCTCCTCGCCGGCTTGATGGCGGCTCTCTTACCTTCGGGGCGCACTGGAGGTCTTTATGTTCTTTGCGTGGTTTTGTATGGGGGTGTGCGCGCGCGTTTCAACTGTCTCATTTTGAGTTTAGTCAGTCGTAGCCATTGGTAAATAGTTCCAGGGCCCTCGGCGCTGAGCGAAAAGCTCAGCAGTTGTTATTCCCATTTATTTGGCGTCGAGCCTATTCTCTCCCTGCCGCCCCACCCCCCGCGGGCATTATTTCCAGTTTGGAGTTTGGTTTTGAATGGGAGGTATTGGAAAAGAACCTGGAAATTTTTCATCAAAATTGTTTTGAGATGAGGTCTTGTTTTTGTCAGATATTTCCTAAATGTTGCGTTCCAGCTCCCAGCTTACAATAAACACCGCGATTGTTTATATGCACAGGTTTTATATGCACCATTCTTTCACCAAATTCAGCAGAACTGTAAGTACTATTTTGTTGTCTGTTTTTACTGTCACCAAATTTGAGAGTAAAGCGATACGCAGAAAAAAAAAAATTGGTCATTGCTTGCGTTGTTGGATTCACTTTTCTGAATTAACGATAAAGATATGTATCGTGATAAATATTTTGCTTCAAATGCGGGTTTTTTGTGTTTTTTTACATTTATGATGAATTAAACTGCAACGTACTGATGAGCTCTGCCAAACCTTTTAGGCTTAAAAAAAAAATTCTTTCTTTAGAGAGTTACTGCATAGGTTTTCTTCATTTAAATTTTATACCTAACGTTTGAATAATTTCAGTAGTAATGTACAGTGTAATTTGGGCAAGCCTAGTCTTTCTGTGATACACCTTCATTATGTTGGACTTATTGTTTAAAATATTGTGAATTGGGATTAAATTAATTGTGACATTATTTTGAAAGAGCTATTTAGCAGAAATAATTCATTTATTCGTTTGCTAACCCAGTAATTTCTTAAGCTGTCAAACATTTCTGTTTATCACATTAACATCAGTTGTCTCCTAAAATTTTTGGTGATTCACACGTCAACTCTTGCTTCAAATATACTACGTAGGGAATATGTTTATGTATTATTAATAAAATTTACACTTGAATACTAAGTTACATAGCCTGTGAATCTTGACAAATACAGTAATAGCATTTTGTTGAAATGTTTATTTTCATTTATGAAAGATACGAGTTTGGTGTATGTTGAGTAACATGCATACTGTGTTGTGTGTTAATAAAGAACATTGCACATTGTTTAGAAATGTTTAACCCTGCCCTAATACTATCTTTGTTACTTTTTATCACAGTTATTTTTAGAATGTTATTCTGAAAGATATGTGTAGAAAAATGTACCAAAGAAGACTTGCTGCTATTAGTGATAGTCATTAGAACTTATTTGCTGAGAAAACAATCCTAGGAAAGATCCTCAGAATACAGTTTTTGAAATGGAAGGAAAGCTTCATGGTTTAGATTAAGTCCTACCTTAATCTCTTCTGATCCTAAGTCTGATTTCGTTTATCAGTTTCGTGTATAGGTTAGTCTTGGACCATATGTATTTTAATATGCATATTGGTCTCTTGAAGACTTTTTGCTTCTATTTCTTTTCTAAATTTGCATGATTCTGGCTGTGTTGCTTCTGGTTTCCTAGTTATTTCTTGTGCGTGACACTTAAGTCAGTGATAGTGTTATGGAAGAGAAAGGAAGCCATTGGTAATAACATTAGATTAAGGGAATTCCATTTTTATGTAAATTGTCTCCAAAGGCAGCAGTGAACTAATGAATGTTAATATAAATGTGGATTTCCTTACATAACCCTGGATAATACTGGTTGAAATTACAAGTCAAAATAGTTCCTACCATTCTTTATATGGCTACAGACATCCCGTTTGCAGAATCAGGCATACTTTTCTACCTCCGGCAAATGATCTAGCCCCAAGCTTCACTTCTTTTTCTTTTTGAGAGGGAGTCTCACTCTGTCGCCCAGGCTGGTGTACAGTGGTGCTGTCTCAGCTCACTGCAACCTCCGCCTCCCGGGTTCAAGCTATTCTCCTGCCTCAGCTTCCCAAGTGGCTACAGGCATGTGCCACCATGCCCGGCTAATTTTTGGATTTTTAGCAGAGATGGGGTTTCACCATGCTGGCCAGGCTGGTCTTGAACTCCTTACCTCAGGTGATCCGCCTGCTTCAGCCTCCCAAAGTGCTGGGATTACAGGTGTGAGCCACTTCACCCAGCCATCTTAACTTCTTTTTTGTGAGCCCTTCTTATAATTTGCTTTTATGGCCTGATTGGTATACTTTACAATAAATACCCTGCTTAAACTTTGGATTGTCGTTTGCATTCTAGCTTTCGCTGTTTTACTTGTTTTCCTTCAATAAAAAGGTCAGGGTATTATTTTTTATTACCTTTGTTAATGTCTTATTGTGTATGAAGGTAAACTTCAGCATTTTTATGTTGAGTCACTATTAATTGAAAACTGTTCGCCGGGCGCAGTGGCTCACGCCTGTAATCCCAGCACTTTGGGAGGCCGAGGCGGGTGGATCACGAGGTCAAGAGATCGAGACCATCCTGGTCAACATGGTGAAACCCCGTCTCTACTAAA